AAAAACAAACAAGCAAGCAAATACAGCAATATCAAAGATAAATAAACATTTAAAAAATAGCAATGATGAAATATAGATGGTAATAAGACACCTATTTGGGGCATTAAATTGGCAAAGAAGAATATAATATCCAATGTTGGCAGTATTCAGAAAAAGAGGTATTAATAACAGTGAGTAGGTAAAATGGTACAATCTATTTTAGGGCAATTTTTATTTGTATCAAACCCCTTTTAAAAATGGCCTTAAAAAACAGCAATTCACACTTCCAAAGCTTTAACTGAAAGTAAATAACTGCAAATGCAAGCAAAAACACAATTATAATCATGTTTACTCTGGTATTACTATTAGCTATCAAGTATAACTATTCTGACAACATGGCCAAGTATAATAGATATACACTCTTACAACTAAACTAAACCAAAGGGAGAGAAAGATAAAACCAAGCATCTATGTTTTCAAAAATCAAGTTTGTAATAAAGAGTTCTAGGATGATTACTTAGCCCTTTTTCAAAAAAATAAAATGAATATTAAAAAACACAATTTGACCCACAGTCAGTGCAAGATGACCACAATTTACTGCTAAATTTAAAAAAGCAATCATAGAACATTACAGACGCTCACAAACAGGAATACTACATGTTTCTATACTCAAGTGTCATGATGGGTGAAATGGTAATGTTTATTCCCATTTTGCTTTTCTGCATTTCCTAATTTCCTCAATGAAACAGATTAAACACCTGGAAAGAATGCACAAAATTAAAATAGTAGATGCATGGAATTTCACGATTGCTTTTTCCTCTGAACTTTCTTTTCTTAGATTATGTTTTGTTATGCTGTATGGGTGATAAATTACTTTTTTTTAAGTGAGAGAAAATTCACTATTTTATCAACTAAACAATTGAGTGATTTTCAGTATATTTACTGAATGCTGTACAGTCATTAAGTTATTTTATTTAAAAATAAGAATAGAGAGCTCAAGGAAGAATTTTTTTAAACACTACTTAAAGCATTCCAACAAACTAATCTCTTAAAAATACCACTAACTACCCAACAGCCTACATATAAAATGAGTCAGTATTACCTTTCTGGTTTGGGTGAGGATTTTTTTGTTGCTATTATTGTGTTTTTTTTTTTTTTTTTTGAGATGATGGAGGTTGAACCCAAGGCATTTAATATGCTAAGTCCAAGCTCTACCACTGACTTACATTCTCAGACCTACCTTTTAGTATTCGGAAAAAGCTAAAATCACTTCAAACACCAATAGTATGGTGGAGAAAAACAGAAACTATGACAGTCACTGTATATACTAACACTGACTACCTCATAAACTATCTCTAATAAAGCATATCTACAAAAAACATTTTATGATAAACATTGAATTCCAAAAATGGCTAAACCAATGTTCTAAGCATTCTCCTACTAAAAAATAGAAATGCTAATCTGCTACTAAAGATATTTGGTATAGGTCAAATACATGTCATATCATTAAACTAAAACAAAAAATCTCTATCATAGAAATCCTGCAAATCTCAAAATTACAGAAATAATCAAATTTTGGGTTTTTTTCTTTAAAGTGGCTTGATGATGGCTTTTCATTTTTTTTTAAGAATTTTTCTTCATAGCAACTTTATTTATTTATTTTTATGGGGTGCTGGGGATTGAACGCAGGGCCCACACATGTGCTAGGCAAGCACTTTACCACTTAGCTATAGCCCCAACCCTCAAAATTAGAATTTTATCTTCAAAGAAATTAATAGTTTTGATACCACCTGTTTTCAAAATATTTAGAGACATAGCAATGTACAGTTTTCTGAGTTCTGCCTCCTTCAAGGATTATAGTAAAATCAGGATTTTTACAATTAACATTTTATTCTGCATTATAGTTAAATCTAATTAGGAAGCATACAAAAACAAAGATTCAAAGATAACGTCACAACTTAGGGGTCAGATCCTAAAGTCAATGTGAAATGAAAATTAATCTTATCACCCATACAGCATAATGAAATATAATCTAGCAACTTGTTTTCTTCCTGCACTAAAATAAGTAACTATTCCTCTGAGCAGTTACACAGTGAATGGATTTAATAATTAGCCTTTGGATGTAGTTCGGTAGTAGAACATTTGCCTATCATGCCTGAGGCACTAGCTTCAACCCAAGTACCACAAAAAAAAGGGGTGGCATACTGTCATCAGATTAATATTCAATAAGGTGATGCTCATACACTATGAAAGTATGTGGAAGATGAAAGTGACTAGTGGGATAGTAAATCTCCTCTCCCATTTCAAGACACTCTAGGCAGACATCAAAAAAGACATCATAAAAGACATCAAAAAAGACATCATAAAAGGTTCTACAGTTTTCATTCTTAAATCATGACCCCACTCTCACATATACCCACACTTCTCTCTCTCCCCCTTCCCACAGTTTTTTTTAGGGGAAACAAAAGTGTGTAATTGAATTCATGTGAGCTCAAAGCATTATGGTTGCCCTCTACTGAATTGTGCACTAGAACCAGTATTCCAAAATGACCCTCTGAATCATGGTTAAGAACATAACAAAACTGGGCACCACTGTCTCAGCTACTTCAAGAGTCTGATGGGGTAGGGGAGGGTATCACAAGTTTGAGGCCAGCCTGGCAATTTAGTGAGATTCTATCTCAAAAAAAAAAAAAAAAAAAAAAGAACAAAACAAACTAAGGAGCAAAATGAATTTGCTTCTGTCACCTGCTAGTTATGCAACAAAAGGCTAATCTAATACTTTGGTTTCTTCATCTCTAAACTGGGTTCCTTCATAAAATCATTTTATTGAGTATATCAATAGCCATAATAAACATTGTATGCCACATTAATTTTATGCTGGGTTACTATTTTCAAAACTAGAATGCTCACTTGATCTCAACTTCAATTCTATTCTCAAAACTCTGCCCTAAGGGGCTGGGGTTGTGGCTCAGTGGTAGAGCACTTGCCTAGCATGTGAGAGGTACTGGTTCAATCCGCGGCACCACATAAAAATAAAAACAAATAATAAAGGTATTGTGTCCATCTACAACTAAAAAAACATTAAATTAAAAAAAAAAAAAAAAAACCTCTACCCCAATCTTACAATAAGGCATTAATAATCTGTAACCAGGGCAAACTCTCCTGTATTCTTAAACTTCTACAAATTTTCAATTTTTGTATGAGTCTACTGACTTATCTTCATTTTCTGGAAATGCCACCTATTTTCTTTATGTGTAGTTTATCTTCTCATGCCAATTATATGCTCCTTTTAAGACTCACAATATGGGAACTCACACCATACCTCTTAAATAGGAAAAAAAGGTATTCAAGTAAGTACTCAGGATATATTATCTGAGGCAAGATTACTGCACAAAGGCTTTACAACGAAGTACAAAGAGTTTTAGATGGAAATCACTGATATAGATTCTCAATTTGTGCCAATGTTTAAGTCTTTTTAATTATTGTTCTTTTTAGTTATACATAACAGTAGAATGTATTTTGACTTATCATATAGAGATATATACATAATCAATGTTATAGATGTTCATCATAGATATACATAATCAATGTTTAAGTCTTAAGAATTATTAAGAGTCAGAAATGTTCTGAATTTAGATCCCAAAAATGAGGACTTCTAAGGAATTGCTTATAGTTTTATTTAAGTCAAGAATATTAAAACAAAGGTTAATTTTTGGCTTACTATGATTAATGCTGTAAAACTCAGTCTAAGTCTGAAAAACAGATCAACATACTGAGACATTTAAAAGATGACTGACTATATATTAGGCACAATTACTACACAGATGAAAAGATTTAGTCTCCGCACACAAGTCTATATAAACATAGCTAAGTAAACAATGCTCAAGAGCTGGGGATGTAGTTCAGTAGTAGGGCACTTGCCTAGCATGCATAAGGCCCTGGGTTTGATCTCCAATACTTAAAAAAAAAAAAAAAAAAAAGACAAGTTCAAGGTGCAGAAGTAAGGATGTAAGGACTTTGATATCTCTTTTCCTTTATCCTCAGTTGAGGTTTAAGAAGGAGGAAAAAAAAAAAAAAAAGCTGAATTTCCCAGAAGGGTTTATCATAAAAGCTTATAGAGAAGATATATTTACAAACTATATATTTAGTCTAAAAAAGCAAGATCAAAAGACTTATCAGATTTTATAATACTTTTCAATGATTTCCTACATAGGTCAATAAAGTAGTAGGAAATATAGTAATAATGGCTTTGTTAAAGAACAAAATTAAATATATACGATGACTTAAATTTCAAAAAGAAAGAAAAAAATAGCTTATCAAATTTTTATCTGAAAAATTGACAAATTTTAAAACATCTGGCCTTGATCACCACACATTATTCTACTAAGTTCAAGAACTTATTGTTCAAACTAAAATTCTAATATCAAAAAAAATTTTTTTCTATTGTTATAATTCTCCTAATGGACCTATATCAGAGAACTATAACAATTTATCATTTACAGCTACTAAGGTAAGACCCAATGTTTCTTTATATATAATGATGATGCTATAAACCTCCAGAAAAAAAGGCACACTTTTCCTTTATTTTATCCATATATCTAGACCCAACTCTGCTCCACAGCAGGAATTTGCAAGCTAGGTATACTATATTTCTACCAAACCATAGTGGGGCAAGTTAACCAACAAATTTACAACTTTGAGCCAAGTTTTAAATGTATGTACTGTCACAATGTGTACAACTTCCAAACAGCCACAAACTGACAAACAGGTAAAATATTTTCTCCCCTCCATAAAGGAGTATTTCATAGCTGATTCAATGAATTCAATTTAATACCAAAATAAAAATACTACATGGTAAAACATGATTAACAAAACCTGATAAATACTACCTTAAAAGCTCAGTATTAAATCATTTTTTATTCTAATTTATTATATATGACAGCAGAATGCATTAAAATTTATATTATACACACAGAGCACAATTTTTCATTTCTCTGGTTGTATATAAAGTATATTCATACCATTCATGTCTTCATACATGTACTCAGGGTAATGATATCCTTCTCATTCCACCATCTTTTTTACCCCCATGCCAATATTAAATCAATTTTATTTGTCAAGGATAATTAATCCACTACTCTCCTTTTTACCTGCTTTAAAAATAAATAAATAAAAGTACAATAAAATTGCATCATACTCATGAAAGGTTCTAAAGTCAGTCTACATGAGGTAAAAATAATAGTCATTTAAGAATAAAACCATCACTTTAAATTACTAATCTTACTCATAGTAAAATGCAGAATATGTTTCTTTATACGTAATAATATTACCAAACTACAGTCAAAATAGTCCTTAATCTTCAAATGGACTATAAAACAGAATAAGATATTCATGACATAAAACACAAAAGAAAAAAATGAGACTGAATTAGAGAACAAGAAGGGTAATATTTAACTCACTCAAGGGCTCATACTCAAAATGGATATAATTCTAAGCATAATCATTTGGATTATGCTTCTTCACCCGATCTCTGAATTTAGAGCACATATTTTTTTCTGTTAAACGCTCATGTGACATGACTTCATTATAGTAGGTAAAGCACAGAACAAACTTATCCTAAAGTAATAAGTAACCACCAGACACTATTTTCTTTTGCAATATCAATTGTAGAGAATCTCTTTTGGGTTCTATTTCACCTCTACTGCCCATCATTTCCAACTTTTGGTTCCCAATAGATAAGATATATAAATCTCATTATACCACTAAGTTAAATTTGAAAATGTAACCATATAAAAAATAAACGATAACATACATTCACTGTAGTTATTTGCGCTATTTTTTTATTATTGTCTTAAATTTATTCAGAGCTAATCAATATTTTAACTGAAACCAAAACTCCATTTTAGTGCAAAATCATATCTTACCTACTACCATAAGTGTGAATTCAAACCCTCTCTTCACTGATTTTCTATAAACTTGATTTGGGAGATTGGCAAATCCCACGTAGCCTTCAAGGTTCTTCGGTTGCTGAGAAAGGTAAAAAGAGGCAAGTTATTCATGTATCAACAACAGTATCCTATCAGACATTTCAAGTTTTATTTACTAATCTACTTTTAAAATTATACAAAATATTATTCATAGAAAATCCATTTTTTTTAGGTTGATACCAATAAAAAGTATTAGTTAATGGCAGAATGGATGAAATGAACAGAGCTCAAATTGATTGATAACATAATGGCTAATTACAAAAACCCCAAGGGAATGACATAAAAATTAGACCTCCCTCAGAGCAGACTTCAATTGATGATAAATTAGTAAGAAGATTCTAACCAACTAATCCAAACAAAATAAAAAAGCACTTTTACTAACAAAAACTCAAATCCCCTAAAAATGTGTTATGAATATTTTTTAACTATAACCTTTATTCTCACTGATTAATTACCACAGGTATGAGTCTCTTGAAATCTGTTTTCTGAATCATGAAATGAAATAAAGTTTAGTTTAAAGCAATTTATTCATAAATTCTTGAAAGCTCTCATGATCAATGTCAATCAACAAACAATAACTTTCAAGCTATTATGCCAGGTCCAATTATGCCACTTCAAGGTTTCACATGATCTTGCCAATCTTCAAGGAAATCAAATTTATCCAGATTTTTAAGTACATCATAATTTCTTTGCTATATGAGTTTTTTGTTCTCCGATGACCTCAATGATTATTTAATAAGTAACTTTTAAAAATCTAATTCTAAATTGGTATAGTAAATAAGTCTGAGTTATAACTTGCCCATTGGTAAGAAACACTGCCCATAGTTTAGACCATCTGAGGGAGTAGAGTCTTACTGGCTAATTTCACTTTGGAGGTTAAGTCTTATTCATTATGACAATATAATGGCAAATACTACTTAGAGATACATATTTCTTTAAAAGTTTTGGCCACTTTTACAACAGTACTTTAATAAAAACTCAGGAGATCAAAGCATTAATTCAACACATTTGTATTTAACAAAGTCATCTACATTCTTCACTAGAATCACATATGTAGCAAAATATTTTATCAATAATCTTTTTTCACTCATAGTTTTTAATCCAAGTATTGATAAGCCAACTCAGTTGATTAAATTGAAAAGCTAATTTTAATGCTAATAATCAGGAAACTCATCTTAACATAGCATTTTAAAGTCAATATTTGAAAGCTTACTATAAGTACAGCTAAAATATGTATTAAATTTAAGGTTTCCTGAGTATACATTTCATCCAACTGTGAGTTAAATTTAAGTAAACTTAGAATGAAAAAATGTCTCTGTATAAATTATGTAGTATACTTACAGCTACTTTGTAAAGAACACATTTCCATCATTCCAGTGTTCCAGATTCCAAACAGAACAAATTCACAGGGGAACAGTAAAGGAGGAATTCCAAGAATTGTAATGACAATTCAATCCAAACAGGAGTGGCAAATCCATTGGAACACAACAAAAGGTAGAAAAATAAAAGTTACTTACATGTAACTCAACAAAATAGATGTAAATCACAAATAAATTGAGAACAGACTTCTCTATACATTTTGGTCTTTTTTTGTGTGTTTACGGGACATCAAGTAGTGTGAGTTAAAATTCACACTAGCCTTGCTATTATCCTGTAGTGTGAGTTAAAATTCATTTTCAATAGTTATCCTGCTGAAATATAGAACAAAAGACTCCTATGTTTTTATAAAGGCCAATTACTATGCCTTGCATCTTAAGTCTTCCACATGAAATGGTTGAAAGATGACAGAAGTATAGTTTCAGGAAGATACACAGGCGAAAGCTTTTAATTTTCAATAAGGAAAAAAAATATAAATATTTTCATAGTTTATTTTTTCTTGTGGGTTTTTTTTTTTTTTTTTGGGTCAGTCACTGTATTAATAGCAGCCCAAATCAGACAAACCTAAATGTTTTAACTAAAAATCTTCTCATACAATGCTACATTTCAATTCTATTAAAGTGAAATTCAGAGTTAAAAGAAATGTAGACTAGATACAGGAAAGGGAAGAAAGTTAAGATGGTAAGCAGCAACATATGGCAAGATAGGATAAACTGTGAGCTGTGAAAATTAATGAAACAGAGAAGAAAAGACAATCACTGGACAAACTTGCTGTGAAAAGTGTACATATTTACACAAATACAAATCTGTAACCTATTTCTACCAATCTGAGAGAGTTAAGGCATTACTGTAGTTTTATAGTTAATTCAATTTAGTAAATGAAAATCTACTTTGAAACATAATTAATTACAAAATTATTTTTCCCCATGACACAACCCTCCAATGACTTCTCCCTCAAAAGTCAAATTCAAATCCCTAACAAAAGACCTACAGTGGTTCTCAACTTCAGCTGCATCTTAGAAATCATCTGGGGAGTTTTGATAAAATACCAATGCACTGGTTATACTCCATCCAGATCAATTATATCAATTTCTAGGAGTAGGACTCACCCATTAGTACTTTTAAAGCTCTTCAGATAGTTCCCATGAACAGCCAGAGCTAAGAACCACCAATTGACAAGCAGCCCGGCCCTCAAGATCTAGCCTTGCTATTATCCTGGCCTAGTTTCCTACAACTCGCCTTACTAATTTTTCTTCCAGACACAGTGAATGTCTAACCACTTTTCAAACACACTAGGATGCTTTAACTTCATGACTTTTACACTCATTGCTTTTTCTTTCTGTAAGAGATTATCATTACACAAATGTCACCTTCAAAGATAGATGTGCCTGTCCACCCTATTTAATCCACTCCTCACCTAGTACTTTGCTGCTTGCTTTGTACTTAAATTTACCACCATCTAACATGTATGTTAATCATACTGTTTATTAGTTTTCTCTACCCCATTGCTAACAAGATTGTAAGCTCCATCAGGGCAGAGATTAAATGAATTACATAAATTGCAGTATCAAAAAAGAAGCCATCTGGGAGAGTTGAAAAACTTCAGAAATTATGGTATTTTAGTCTGCATCTTCAAAGAATCCACCAGACAAAAGACATAACAAAAACATCTAAAGAGCCTGGCTCTGTGTCTTATTCATTGCTTTAGCTTCAGAATAGTCTTTGGTACATACTAAGAAAAGAGGGGAAAGTATTCTAGGTAAAAAGTGGACCCTAAATTAGAGATAAACTTGGTATTTCTAGGAACAACAACAACAAAAAAAGGGTATATGAACTGAGGTAGAAAAGAAGATAAAGGAACAAAGGAAGGTATGGACAAGGACATGAGTGATGGGAAATGAGGTCAGGGAAGTAGGCAGGGTATGATCATGTGGGACTCAGCCAAAGCAGAAAGTCTAAATATTATTTTAGGTAAGATGGGAAGCCACTGGAGGGTTTCCACAGGCAAGTGACCTGATTAGTATTTTAAGGATAGTTCTCCCTGCAAGGTGAAGAGTGGAAATAAGAAACTAGTAAAGAGGCTACTGCAATAGTCCAGAAAAGAAAGATATAGTGAACTAAAATGGTACGGAAACAATGACAGATTAAGGATTCAAAATATTTTGAAGATAAAGTTAAGAGGATATTGCTGATGGACTGGATGTGATTAGTGAAGGAAAAAGAGATGAAGGATAATTTCTAGATTTTTGGCTTGAACAACTCAATGGCTACTGACATCTCCTAGGGGAAAAAGGAGTAATGGTAGAAGAAAAGATTGAATGGTGAAACACAAAATCAAAAACAGCTTTGAAATGGTTGTTTGAGGTGCCTATTATCTATTTGATATGTCCAGTAGGCAGCTTTAAATACATGGCTCCAGAAATTCCAAGACTAGTTAGTGTTGTAAATACAGATTATGACTGGGAAGGGACTAAATTCCCAAAAAGAGATTATAGATAAAAAAGAAGGGAATTCAGAGCCCTATAACCCTAAAATATTGATAGTTAGGATGTGAAAGATTAGACAATGAGAAGGTATGAGGAAAACCAAAGCCATTTCAATGATGGACTAGTCAATCAACTGTGTGGAATGCTACAGAAAAGAAGTCAAATGAAATATGACTCTAAAATTTGAAAGTAAAGTTGCCAGTAACTTTTAAGAAATGCAGTAACTGTTACACAGTAAGAAGAGTGACTAGTTTGGTTTACAGTAGATAATTCTTTGCACTTACTTATTAAAACATTTTGTTATTTCAAAAATCAAATGATTTTGAAACACTTATGGTTCCCTCATATGACCGATATCCTAGATGGGTAGAATTGTCATATTCATCTCTATAGTACTAGCAAAGTGTCATTTACAGAGTTGATAACCAAAAATGGTGGAGGACTGCATATTCAGAATCATTTCTTCTGAAAAAAGTGTTCAAAAATCAAAGACAAATTGGTTTGACTACTGCTGTAAAATAAATTATCACAGAATTTGCATAAAAGTATCCCATCAAATAGAAAAATAAAAGTCTAAAGCTACCTGGCTCCAAATACTATTTAGATAGTACACTATTCACAATATTGATTGACTAAGGCACAAACTTTTCATATCTCATAAGAATCTTTCCTAACCCCAAATTCTAAAATAACCAGCTTGTAATTCTGAAGACTTAACCACCCACTGATTCTTTTCCTGAACAAACAAAATGTTCACAGTGCCAGTTGGGAAATATAATTGCTGGATAAGGAAACATTATTTATAGATGTAAGTGATATAACCATGGTATTTATGAGAATTATAAATAAATGTATATTCACCCAGGCTTCTACCTAAAACCTTAAGGTCTTGAAAGTATTCTTTGATTTTAAACATCAGCTCTGTAAAAAGAAACCTTAATCACTATTTCCAGATGAATATATTCATAGTTTTTAGTTATATTCTATTTCTGCGAAAATTTATATTTAAAAAAAAAAAAACCTAGAGCTGGGCACAGTAGGGCATGCCTGTAATCTCAGAGGCTTGGGAGGCTGAGATAGGAGGATCTCAAGCTCAAAGCCAGCCTTAGCAACTTAGCGAGTTAAGCAACTCGGCGAGACCCTGTCTCTAAATATTTTTAAAAGGGGGAGCAGGGGAGGCTGCTCAAGATGTGGCTCAGGGGTTAGGTGCCCTGGGTTCAATCCTGAAGGAAGGAAGAAAGGGAGGGAGGGAGGGAGGAAGAAAGAAAGAAGAAAAAACTACAATGCCACTGCTTGCTGGAAATTAAATAAAATGTGGAATAAGATCAATGTTTAACTTATCTAACCTTATTTCTAGAAATCAAAACTACTTAAAGAAAAAGATGCTTATATAACTGAAACTTTTCAAGAATTCTTCATGTTCTTTTGCCATGTTCTTGTTACACAGAATAAAGTCACTAAAATTTGATACCTAAAATCCCATCATTATATTTAAAGGTATGGTATTATATTTGCTCTAACAAATCTTTCCATCAGAGTAGAAAATCACAACATATTTTGAAATTTGCTCAACATGCTTTTTGGTAACAACAATAAAAAAAAATTAAGCAAGGGGAATTGTAAAAGAATGCAAGCCTAATAAAGACCAAAATCTCAGGAAAAATAAAAATTATCCTGGAAGGATTTTCATCAACCTTCAACTCCCCCAATCTTCACAAAACAAGATTCCAATAAAAAATCAAAGTGGTTAGAAATAATAACATACAACCCAAATTTCCTTAATATGCTAGAATTCTATTTCACCTCTTGGTAATTACGATTTTTAAAAATCAGGTTATACAGATCCAAGGATTATATCAATTACTTTCAAATTCAATGATAAACATTTGGTCTTTCCACCTTTGGATTTTAAAATTAAATATATATGTAGATGCACATATGACACACTGTTTTACAAAAAAATAAAATTTTTTCTCCTGAAAATTCAGCTTTGTTTTCCAAATATTCCTTGAATTGTTACAAGCTTTTGGTTAATTTCAGGAGTTCTAAGAAAGTTAATTTTGACCATTCTTGCCTATTTTCTCATTGATTTTAGTGGTGGAGAGAATTTTCTGAGATCTAATTTCTTTGACTGTCACTCTGCCAAATGTCTGAAAATGGTTCTTCTATTCAGTATGCCCTTATCTGTCCATGTCTATTCTTCTAAACCCGTGCTTTTATATCTGCATGGCATTTGATATATGGACATACCATAATGTTTTTTATTTCACTTGTTCAAGGAACTTGTTTTATAATGTTTCACTTTTATTAACAGGGCTTTTTTTAAAAATATGCTGCTATTTAAATCTTACATATTCTCAAGATTATAAATTTGTAGAACTGGAATTTGCTGAGTTAAAGGGAATGAAGATTTAAGCTTTTGGTCCACAAAACCAAACTGCTCCTCAAGTAAGTCATTTAAATTCTGACAATCATGTAACCGAGTACCTTACATTTCTACATTCTCAGCCAGTACTGGGTCCTTCTATTCATTTCAATTTATTCTCTCAAAACAGATCTTTTGGCAATGATGAAAATGTTCTCTATCTGTGCTGATTATGTTGGCCACTTATATTATGGGCCTGTTGTGCACTTGAAATGTGACTAGTTATACACATATACACACACACACACACACACACACAC